GAGACAAAGTCCCAACGATGGGTACTTTATTTATGAAAATTACAATTAAAAAGAAGCAAAACGCCTCCAAGGAGCACAAGCACACAAAGTACTAGAAGGAAATAATTGAAAGTTAATCTAAGGAATGAAATTACATAGTTCTCTGTTTGAGAATGATTGATTGGGGACATTTCTTCTATGTCTTCTTTTTTCTTTTATACTCATTTGCCAGTTTTCCTTATGAAACCGTTTAGAAACTGTTTGTCGCTCTATAACTACCAACTTGCTTCGTAATGGCTGACGTGTCGAGGAACCATCATTTTTAAACTGCTGTTATTGCTCACCTCTTTTTAACTGTTTGTAACTGAGATATTTGAATCATGGAACATGATAAGATTGCTCTCAAATCTTGGGCGTCTCGAAGGCTTGGGCGAGAATGAGGTCATCGCTCTAAGCGACAATAAGGTACTTCATTCGCTCTGATCCTGAGCGTTCTGCAGGCTTGGGCGATGATAGTCCTTCGTTTATGGGCCTCCACCATATTTTACAATGGTCTCATTTTGGCATATCCCTCAAGTTCCCTAACTGAGCCCCATTTCTTGGACCATTTAATTGGGCCTCATTTTTTTATGTCAACAGTGCCCTTGCAGTTAGCGTGTTTTCTGTCGTTAAATACATTGAAGTTCACCCACTTATATCGTTGTTTCACTTTTGTCACCATCGTTAACTTTAATTTTTGTTTCAATTTAGGCACTCTATCTTATCAAATTAATGAACAAGCTTATGTGGTATGAAAAAGTCAGTTTGTCCAAGATTTTTGTTGTTCAACTTGGTATAACGGCGTCTTGTTGGACAAGTTTTGCTTTCCTTTTGCTTTCCTTTTTTTTTGTGAATCTATAATAAAAGCACATTTTAAATTACTTTCCGAAAATATGCATTTTTGCCTATGCTAATGAACTTCTCATGCCACGTTTCGGTTACTTCTGTAAGACATTGCCTAACTAAAATAAAAATTAAGTTCAGACACTAACTTGAAACAAAAGTTTGGAGCCTGAATGAAACAATGCCATAAGTTAGGTGACAAAAAATGTGCATATTTTTTTCAATGTCTTCTATTTGCTACATACATTTAGAAGAGAATGACTAATCTTGTTTGCTAAGTATTTGATGCCAGTGGATGAATGGATTTGGTTTTGTGTACCAATTTTCTATCCTGAGTACCTTACGTGATTTGACTTCTCCATCTCCATTTGGGTACTTCTCATCGAAAAGCTTATGTACTTTTTGGGTTTAACCAGATTGGCTATATTATGGAAATTCTGAAGTCACTAGTGGCTGAATTGCTTTCAAGTTCTCCAGTTTTCTGCTCTATCATACTTGAATCCACATTTTTAACTTTTGTATTGATGGATGATCTTGTCTACACTTTACCTATTCTTCATTTTACATATGCCTATTGAAGATTCCTTGTGCCTAAGATAGATTTTTTTGCAACCTCCATTTACTTTTCTGAATTATGTTGTTGCCTCCATTTACTTTTTAAATTATGTTGTTAACACTAGGTATACTTTATTCTTCTAAATAATTTTTTGTTATAGGTGTTGAGAATTTATAAGCAAGCTGGTATGGCCACATGCATAGTTTTCTTTATATTGCAGTCGCCCTTGTTTCCCTTAAAAAAAAATTATATTGATCTTGAGTCCATATTTAGGATTTCTAGATTGTCTTGAAGAAAGGCTCGTGGTACATCTAGGGAGATCGGCTGAAACTTTTAGATGAACCTCACATGCATTTTTCTGGAACCATTAAATGATCAAGCATTTAGTTGTTTGATTCATTCACTTCCAGATAATTGGATTTGTCCATTTGTTAACATTTAATTTGTTTCATTCTTCAGTAGCAATTGTCCAGTTCCTAGGAATTGGAAGTTGATATTTGTTTTGGATGATTACAAAATAAAGGTGGGTAGGATATGTTTTTTTTTCCCAACTAGAAAGAACTAACTGGATATGTTTTACATTTTTTTTTTGAGGGATTAGGTAGGTGCTTTACTTCTATTACCTTTCTTAATCCCTTGTTCTAATAATTAATTTAATACAATTATTCCAATATTTATTGTATATTCAGATCCCAACGTTTATAAACAATCAAGAGAAAAAGCAAGAATGACAGTGTAGGAATTATCCACTATGTCTTAGCATACGAATGTAAGTTCCATTCTAGTTCATTAGTTTTATTTTGTAAATCCTGCATCGTATCCTTTTACAATTTCTTTGCTATCCATTTTCATTTTTCGATGCATACTTTATTATTTAATGGATAAATTTTTTTTTTTTTTACTCATGTAAGCCTACAATCTTTATGTATGTCAAACGTTTCTATTATTATATACTGTTATGTTCTACATACACATGATATTTTCAATTTTATTTTTTGGTGAGTTTCTTTGTGAAATAATATCAGCTTTTGAAATGATCACCTTGTTAGGTAGAGCATTAGCGAGACAATAATATGTTCACAATACTCTTGAATAATACAATAAATCTTCAACAACTTTTTTTTTTAACATCTACAATTGCTACACTAATAAAAACACAACAAATATAAAATTCGTGCAACGCACGTGTCAACGACTAGTCTTATGAAATATCTCTATGATGTCAAGGTCTAGTTCAAGGTGTAAGATAGAACCTTTACTAGATCAGTGATTCGACTTTGATTGATTATATAAACAAAAAATAGAATTATAATACAACTCCATTTTTCCAAGTTTTAAGCAATTTTCATATAATTTCTTGAAAATTCAACATTGTGGAATATGACATTTTATGGGATTCATAATTTTTCAACCATACATTTCATCAACTTTTATCGTATCTACTAAAAATTTAATTTAATCAAAATCAAACATGGGCTAAAATAAAATGATAAATAGCATTAAATATATTAACTAAAGGAGTAAATGCTATCATCTTTACAAACAGCGGTCTATATG